AAATGATTGATTGAATAGTAAGTACAGTATATTATGAGTCTAATTTCAACAAATGTCTTTAGTATTTAAATTATAATTCAGGTGATTTATTTTGTGCCACTCTTTTTGGGATTTATTGGCCAAGATACCTGATTTTTTTGGGGGGTCTCTTAGTAGATGGGGAGGGTCTCTTAGTAGATCCACCGCCACATATATGACTTTAAAAGTATCATGTCGTTGCAATCTTTTTTTTTCTGTGCTTTCTGCCAACACTTTCGTTATTTTGTTGCGTTCCTTTGTTCAGGTTTAACCCTACTTTGTTTAACTCATTTTGTATTTTGCTAACCTGATTGCAGTCTATCCCTTTATCGCCCTGGATAGAGTTAACAAGTGCTGGGTGGCCGAGGGGTCTAAACTGAGCAAATCTCAAGTTGGTGGTCTTGAGTTCAATATCCATCCAAAACCCAAATGAAGCTTAAACATCACCAGCACCCCGGCTGGATGGGACTCGTTAAACTTGGATGTCAAATCATCCTAAAATGCCTTACCGTCGACCGTTAGCACATATTTCATTTCAGGTTTGTCATCTAAAAAAATCTCAAGCGTATCAAATAGGCATGGGCCCCCTTCAAAATGTTCAAGCAATTCCCCTTCGAACACCATTGGACGTCAGTATGAAGTAAAAGTATCACATAGTCTGCCTTTTGTTCTCCATAAAATAGCATGAAGTCCATGTTGTGTCAGCCAACAAATTTGATTTTATCAAAAAACTTTACGCTCGCAATTGACCTAAAGGTTTGAGAGCGACTTCACACACCCTTGAGCATGACCGAGTAAGATAACCTTAGGATCGTTCATTAAAATGTCAGCGGTTCTAAAATATGACTATAAGACTACCTTAAATGACTTAAAAGAACAGATTGACATGTTTCATAAAATTAATAAAAGTTGAAACAGTTGACCGGTGGTACATTTCTCTCGACAGAATATTTACACAATTGGCGTGGAGTCAATTTTCGTTTCTCGACTTTTGTCTGCGCCATAGGAAATACTCGTACATCTTACATAGGAAATACTCTTACATCTTACATAGGAAATACTCTTACATCTTACATAGGAAATACTCTTACATCTTACATAGGAAATACTCTTACATCTTACATAAGAAGAACCTCGTACACCTTACTTTAGAAATACTCTTACATCTTACATAGGAAATACTCGTACATCTTACATAGGAAATACTCTTACATCTTACATAGGAAATACTCTTACATCTTACATAGGAAACACTTGACATCTTACATAGCAAATACTTGATATCTTACATGGCAAATAGTTGACATCTTACATACGAAATACTTTCATGCAGTGATATCTGTTGCAGTTTTGGCAGGGGGGTGACACCCTTTTATATTTTGGAAAATGTCATTTATCTAAATCTATTTTCCGCTCACAGGGAGTAGGGGACTATGTATTGACTTTAAAGGCCGGTGTGTGTGTGTGTGTGTGAGCTTGCCCTGCCCTGCCATTACCTTTTCACTACACAATTTTTTTGCGACTTCTATTTTATTTTATTTGTTTTTTTTTATTTTTTGGTGGGTCATTTTAGTCGTAAGACGTAAACAAAAAATTAGTCGATTCTCATTGATTAGTATGCAGCCCTGAGAAGCTGTTCCGGGGCAACCGTTTCGTCCCAGCTACTTTGCAAACTAGTTGCATGGTGGAAACCCACTGTAGAAACCCTCATAATGGCGTCCCACGCTTCCCCAGGATGGGTGGGGGAAGATATTAGGACGTAAATTTACCATCCCGACCCCTGAGAAAGTCGATCGTGTGCACTGTGTACAAACACAGTGTCGGACCGACCGGGTGTCTTTGGATTGAGGCGGCCTAAAGCGGAACCCGATCGAGCAGACACTGGTGGGGGCTGTCCTGGCAAAGGGACATCCCCAACTTGCCGCTTCGCTGCCCGATACCGGGCTTAGGGGGGTGCCTTGGAGAGGGCATAAGGAGCATTAGCTGGACGGACCACTGACGCCATTTCTTAATGTGAGATTTAAGTTTCATTGGATGCATATGTACTGGGCAATGTTCAGTATTTCTTATATGTGAATACACGCAGGGAACGATGAGGTAGAAAACTAAATACCAAAGTAACTTTTAACCGAATTATTCCAAAAACTCGCCAAGTTTTACTTTAACAACCTAGGTACCCTAGCTCACGACACAAAATAAGGTAATGTGTAAAAAAAATCTCAAAACCTGCAACTGTTCCTACTGGTGTTACTGTTCCTACAAGTGTTACTGTTCCTACTGGTGTTACTGTTCCTACTGGTGTTACTGTTCCTACTGGTGTTACTATTCCTACTTGTGTTAATATTCCTACTGGTGTTATTGCTCCTACTGGTGTTACTATTTTTACTGGTGTTACTATTCCTACTGGTGTTACTGTTCCTACTGGTGTTACTGTCCCTTCTTGTGTTAATATTCCTACTCGTGTTACTGTTCCTACTGAAGTTACTATTCCTACTGGTGTTACTGTTCCTAAAGGTGTTATTATTCCTACTAATGTTACTGTTCTTACTGGTGTTACTATTCCTACTGGTGTTACTATTCCTACTGGTGTTACTATTCCTACAGGTGTTACTGTTCCTACTGGTGTTACTTTTCCTACTGATGTTACTGTCCCTACTGCTGTTACTTTTTCTACAGTTGTTACTGTCCCTGCTGGTGTTACTGTTCCTACTGGTGTTACTGTCACTACTGATATTCCTGTTCCTACTTGTGTTACTGTCCCTACTGGTGTTACTGTCCCTGCTGGTGTTACTTTTCGTACTGGTGTTACTGTTCCTACTGGTGTTATTGTTTTTATAGGTGTTTCTGTTTCTACAGGTGTTACTGTTCCTGCTGGTGTTACTGTTCCTATAGTTATTACTGAAAAATATTGCGTGTACTTATAAACATCGTATAAGTGCGTTCAGAAGGTGTAAGAAAAGCTGCACCAAGTGGGCCTACCTTCAGGTCAGCTCGTTTTACACGATGCTGGGGGAACCTGGATGTTTTCGGTTATGTGCTATGGTGCAGGGGCGTAGCGAAGGGGTCAGGGGGGGACAGATGTTCCCGGGCGCCAGCTAGTTAGGGGCGTCAAAATGTGATTTGATATTATTTTATTGGTGAAAATAATGGGTTTGAGATTTGAAAAAAGAAAATTGGAGCCTTAAAATGAATAGTTTTCCTTGGTGCGAATGTTGCCCCCGGGCGCCAAACACTCTCGCTATGCCTCTGCTATGGTTTGCTTCTTTCTTTTTTTTCTCCTTTTTTTATAGACTATAGAAAAACAAGTGCAAGAAACAAATTTAAAAAAGATTAATGGCATTTTAATGTTAACTGAATCCCATTCCTTACCTATTAAGAAATAACCTATCAAGACTAAATGCATGATAGGATGATGATTTAGTCTTTGGTGTTGGAAGAGGGGTGCCGAGGGGGGTGCCGAGGGGGTTGGTCGACCCCGGACGGCAATTTGTCTTTATGTAGAGGGGCGGGATTTTTCTGGTGTTTTGTGGAGGTTGGTGAAGTATAATTATTGCCCTCCGCCCCTGTGCTGCATTGACCCTAACGACGCCTTTGGATCCAGTACCAAAAAAAAAAAAAAAAAAAAAAAAAAAAAAAAAAAAAAATTTATGACGGTGTCGCTTTTTTATTATTTTTAAAAACAAAATTTTTTTAAAATAAATTTTAGAATCTATTTAACTTTAAGTTTAAATGGAATTAAAAATTGTAAAAAAAAAAATGAAAGTTTTAAAAGAAATAAATAGATTTTAGAAATATATTTAGGCACATGCGATTTGAGAGAAGAGGCATAACCATCGAACGAGAAATCGTATCTTAGTACAGACTGAGAACCACCGACATCGGTTTGCTTGCATTTACTATTATTAGGGTCACGTGACCAAGGTGTGAATATCTGACGCTTTGCATAAATGCGCGGTCCTTTTAGAGTATATCGACGTGACTTACGCAGCGATGGTTTAACGACAGAACAACAACATAGCCGGTACATGAATGGCCATACAACAGAACAACAACATAGCCGGTACATGAATGGCCATACAACAGAACAACAACATAGCCAGTACATGAATGGCCA